TGAACCTGGTAAGGGTGCACCAGACCCTGTTGGCTTAAGAGTGACAAGCTTAAATCTAAGCTTTACCAGTAAAAACAATTTTTATTTAACTCCATTCGTTCAAGTCTAGTCAGCTTTGACAGAAGTGCCAGTCTTCCAGGGCACCTATATATGAGCAGTGAGACTGCTCCGACATGTAATTACAACACATTGGAGCAGACTAATTAATTGAGTCTGCTGAAGCATGGTCACTATAGCACTCCAGCAAACTCCAGCATCACATGCATCAGCTCCCCTGCACTGAAAAATGGCAGTGGGGGTGCTTTAACTAAAGCTCATTCTACGTGGGGACACTGATACACATGATACTCTGGGCACTTTAATTAGAGTAGCTCTCACCCCCTGAACTCCCACTCCCGGAGCCTATGTTTAAACACCCTCACCAATTCCTTTAATAACTGGATAAATGCAGACAGATCCTTAGCAGGGACACTTGGCTAGGATAGTATTTACCTGTAACATTTCTTAAATCAGGACAGAGGAATTCTCCTGGCCCAAAATGATCCAAGCGCTGCTTCCAAAGACCTTCATTTCCAACCGCCAAAATATAAGGTTCTTCTTCAACTGATTAAAAATGAATAAACTCTAACTGTGAGGTACTGAGAAAATGTAAATACTGGTAAATTATTTGGCCATTCTTTATATGCCAGATACCAATATCAGAATCCTATTGCATTTGATTATGAAAAGTATGTAGTAAGAAACAATCCTTGATCTGAAAACATTCAATCCAAAGAGATAAAAAAAACTGACAGAAGTTGCAAGAAAAGCATTATCCCTTTTTTTGGTGAGAAACAGAAAAATTAGGGCAAAAGTCCACAAAGGTATTCAGGCACCCAGCTTATATTTAGACACCTCACTTCTACAATTGCTGTAGGAATTATGCACCAAAATATCTCTGAGGCCTCGCCTATGTATTTCTGCAGTAACCACCCACTTACATAACAGGAGCCTACTTTCAGCATTTGGATGCTTATCTTGCTAGGATTCTTGGACCCCAGCTGACTTCCTGCCCCTGGGGCAGGGGGCGGGACCTGATGATCTTCGAGGTCCCTTCCAGCCCTAATATCTATGAAATCTATGAAATCAGCTTTACCTACCACCAGTAGTCTTCAGATGCTAATCTTTGTACTGGTCCTCACCACACTTCAAAAGTGATGCCAGCTACTCTTGTCACCTCAAAGGATACACCATGGGGAAACTAGGCACAAGTGTAAACCCAGTGTGTTCCCATTTTTATTACTGTGTATTATTTACATTAGAAATTATCAAAATTAGCAAACTGTGTTTTGAGAATATAATTGATGATGAAGGCATTATTAATCCTATGTCGTATACAGCGTCCTGTGCCATGCTTTTTTTCCTCTTAATTTTGGATCTTTGCCCAAGGTCTAGGCCTCAGCAGGTAGAGTTTTGTGCACAGGTCAACTCACCTATTTCTCCTCAGTGAGGGAGTCATTCTTACCTTCTTTTAAAGTAGTACCCTTAAAAGACTCTGACCATGGCCCTTCCCCAGCAGGAGACAAAGCTCTCACTGACACCTCATATGCTGTGAAGTTGGACAGGTCTCTCACTGTAAAGTTAGTATGACTGATATTTGAGACAGCTAGATCCTCGTCAGCAGAACCCTGAGATGATACTTTCAAAATATAAGTCCAGTTCTTCCAAGCAGAAGGATCTGAACAGCATAAATAAACAATCACATGATTGGATAAGGAACAGCTTTAACAGATTAATTTCAAAGCAATCAATATCAGAGCATAGAGATTTCCAGACATGTCAAGAGGAATGAAAATTAAACAGCACTAGCTGCTCTCACCACTGATGCCATGGTAGTACATCATAACCCTCAGCTTCTAGATGATCTAGCCTGAAGGGGTTGCCAGTCAGTGGCTCTAGCTACAGCTGCACTTCTGGTATCACAGGTCAAATGTACATATACACAAAGTAGAGCTGATAGCATGCCTGCCAGCCATGGAGTCACCATGGCACTAGTAGGTACACTCTGTGTACCATTGATGACACCATGATACCAGCAGTCAGCATTACTTTCTTTACTTATTTAAGACGTAGCCTGTTAACCCCCATAACAGTAACTCACTCAAGTCAGTCACCGCTAATTGAATTAAGATGAATTTTTATTTTATCAGCAAATCTTGAAATCTTGGCTACTTAACAGTAGGCAACATTGGGCCTTATTTTCCTCTTATTTATACCTGTTGCATATTAATACAATTCCATTGATTTAAACAGAATTACTCTTGATTTAAAAATGGGGCAATGACCTGGGCATTAAAGCTATTCAAGTTGAATTAGTGGGAAGGTGTCAGTACAACAAAAATCAGGAATATCTTTTCTGGGAAGTATAATGCAACATGGACTTGGTTGAACTTACTGGTTCCAATAGTGGGTTCGGGTGGTTTCCAGGTGACTACAGCTCGGTCTGATCCAAACAGAGCTGTGACAAGCTGAGGCGGTGATGGCAAAGGAAAAGGCTGAGTTGACGAGCCATAAAAGAGCAAGTTTCCATACCCAAAATAGTCTGGATCAGTAAGGCTGCAATCTGCAATGTACTCATTAAAGCTGGAGATCCCGTTTGCAGACATCTCTTCATGGAAAACTGCCCTACCATTTGTGACCACCAACGTGTTATTCTCATAAACAAAACTTTCTATGTCTGCAAATGAAACTTTAGGTCGCAGTTCGTTAAATCCTGAACCATCCAGAAAACAAGATACAAAGGACTGTCTTTCTTTGTAGAAGAAAATAAGTCTTTTGGACTGGTAGTTAATCACAAAGTCTTTTGGAGCACGGATTCTCACAACTAGTAAAGCCGCAGTGATTAGATCTGAAGAGGTAGGGAGGCTTGCCCTGTAAATACCATCCTCCAGAAGATAGAAAATATACCTGACAATGAAACAGAACAGCCCAAAACAGTAATACCACCAAAGGAAGGAAAAAAGCACCAATGCTGTACACGTGACATTTTAGTGGCCTACTGGCTCTGAAAGGCACCTGTCCTTTTGAAGAATGATGAGAAAATTATGGTGTCTCATAATTCATATTTTATAAGAAATATATGGGTTCTAATGCTCAACTGGCATAAAATGAGAATATGCAGGTTTACATCAACTGAGACCTGGCCCATAGCTTATTAAAGCAGTGGTGCTCAACTTTTTGGCTCCATGGGCCAAAAAGGGCCAGTCTATGAGCCAAAGCAGACCCTGCACTCCAGGATTGGGCCTGTATGCCTGGATCAGTCCCTTATGCTGTGATCAGAGCCTTGGGACCCTGCACCACTTCCACCAGGCTCTGCGCACTGGGATCAGGGCCCGACACTGCCTAGTCCTATATCTAGGGATCACACTCTGAGGCTTTACATCACCTCCACCCAAGCTCTGTGCTCTCCTTTGCACTGGATCTAGTGTGCAAGGCCACAGCCCACAGGGCGCCCCATGGGCCAGCAGGGAGACCCACAAGCCAGATGACAAGGCACCAGGGGCCAGATCTGGCCCACAGGTTGAGGGAGTGAGTACCCCTGTATTAAAGTATTTTTATACATAATCTAAACTGCCAGTCAGAGACCTTTAAAATGCAAACAAGCATTTCCATGAAAGCATACAATGTCTTTTTTTTTTAATTAAATATTTTCAGATACTTTGTGTATTGGAAATACAGTCATGAACTTACTGGAAAAGATCCAACCATGAGTATGAGTGGGCTGAGGAGAAGTAGGAACAATCTATACAGTATTTATAATTGTTGTCTGGTTTTTGTTTTATTTGGGGTTTTTTTAATTGAGAAGAGCTGGAATCAGTAAGTGACTGACTAGCAAATTGAAGAAGATTGAAGAAGAGCTCAACAGTAGATCTGTTATTAAGCCATCAAAGCAGACTACTTACCCATTATACGGGTCAGCTATAACTTTCCTAGGGGAAGTCACTGAAGGTGGAGTAATGTCTTCAGCTACTGTGCAGTTCTCTAAACTACAGATATATACCTAAAGAAAAGAATATAAAGTACCCAATGTTTACTGGTGACCAGCAGCCTGACCTGATATTCCTTCTAGTAAGCATAGGGATAGACTCCTCTAACAACTTTAGCCCCTGCAAGCTTTCATCATTCAATTATAAGACTTACTGATTATGGCAAGCATGAGTGCATATATTAAGAAATTATTCATTTACTCTCCACTTAACCATCTGATTTCAAGTTGGAGGAAACAGGCTAGCTTTGAAGGCTGACCAAAACAGACGTTGAATTGGAACCAGCTTATGAAGGGGAGAAGTTGTTTCTGGATCCTGGAAGCAACCTAGGACAAATTTGACTTCAGGTCTTTTCTAACCTATGCTGTCTTCAGTGAACCCTTGCAGTCACTTTGTGAGTGTAGGACTGGAAGAGCATGAAGTTGTCTGGGCACAGTAGGTCCTGTCTGTATATCCCCATGGACAGTAAGTGAAGACTAAGGAGGCAGAAACTTGCAGGAGGCATCTTCAGCTGCCTATTTCTGGCAGCTGTCTCTGGCTTCTCCTCCCATGTTTACAAGAGGACTAAGAGGCCATCCCAAGAACTGACCACTCTAATTATTAGTTTCATGAGTAGAGAATCAAATGTGCAATACAACAGTCTTTTGCAGGTGGGAAACTGGGATACAGACAATGAGTGACTTTTCCAGGGAATGAGCCATAAGTCAATCAGTGTCAGGGCATAGCTTATAGCAAGGCTTTTGAGCAAAAACTGATGGAATTCTAGATACAGGTTTCCCCCGCTTTATGCTGTACATGTGTTCCTGGAAAACGGTGCATAACTCGAATTCGCATAAAGGGAACCCACTTTACAATGTAACAAACAGGGATACATTCCAAGACCTCGACTGTACTGACCCCCAGACCCATTTCTACCACTTTTACAAGACAATTTTGATATTCACCAACAGCAGACAGTACACACAAGCACAGGACACTATCAACTACAGAAAAACGTGTCACAGACAACGAGTGAGGAGCACAGTTCCACACAGGAGACTATATTTTGGTGCACGTCACTCCCACAGTACACTGCACAAAGCAGCTGACTGCCTGCTGCCACCACACCAATCACATACGAGTGAATTTATCTCTGATATAATTAATTTTTGGTGTAAAAACCAGTCATCGCATAGGAGCAAATTCGTACATACATAACCTGCATAAAGCCAGGGAAACCTGTAGTCTGTTTACTCTTAATTTGCCAGAGCAGTTCTATTTTATATGAACAATATAAATCCTATTAAGAAGAAAAGAAGTATGCTGTACAGCGATACTATACTTCATAAATTCTTTGTCTTCTCATGCAAAATAGATCATGAAGTGACTCTTTAAGTATTATGAAGTTTTTTAAGCCCCAAACTCCTACCTTTGCATTCATGACAAAGTACATCATCTGGTAAAGCCAGTCCACAGAGATTGAAGTAATTGTTCCCAAGCCAGTGTAAAAGAGCTTTAGGTCAGACACATCAGACATGCTAGCAGCTCCTTTTACCCAGATAGAATTCCCCACTGAGAAATAGACAGCTTGCTGATAAACATTCACGGCAATCCCTAGAAACAGCAAGGCAAACATGTACACACAGAGCTAGTTAATATAGGAAATCCATTTTGATTTTTCATTGCATTATAAAAATTATCTTAGAATGAGATGATAGTTCTTAATATGAGATCTGACCAGACCTGAAAAAATGTTAATTAAGCCCGATGCTTCAAGTTCATATTCCCATAAAATACAATATTTCTGGTAACCCATGAAAGTAATACTAATATACGCAACCAAAATAAAAATAATGAATAGACATATTAGACCAGATGACAGCCAACCAGTCACCCTACCTGGTAAGAAGAGATACAATTTGCATCTCACTTCTCAAGCACAATTCATTTTACTCCAAGTTAGAAAAAGCAACCAGTGTCTGCATCAATACCGTATTATAGTGGTTATCATAGTCTGGGGCATATGTGGTTTCTGCATCCTTGTGGCATTGTGAACCAGGGGATTTGAGTCCAGATATCTGAGTTTTCTCTCATGTACCATGCCAATGCAATCTTTTTAAAGGTGTCGCAGGGTACAACACAAGTTTAGCATTGTTAGGTGTACAAACATCCACACGTGATTCACAAGATAAACTTAGAGATTTCAAATAAGAAATCACAGTTTTCAAGTCATTCTGAACTATTGTGGTCTTTCTGAGTTCTTTAAAATAGAAGAATTGATCAATTATTTTTCCATGGTCAAGAAACAAAGTGAACGCTAACAGCTGTCATTTTTTCAAAGGTTGCCTTGAGTTTAACAAGGAGTGCCTTGCGTCTAAAAAAAACATTGGTCTATTGACCAATTAATGCTTATGGGGCACCTGAATGCTACTGCAGTGGCGATATATCAGTATCTATGCAAAAGAGACATAGAGATGGAGAAACAGACAGATGTAGTGACAGGACTAACCTGTAATATTGTTGCATATAACATTACTCTGAAGGCATTCTGCTGCTTCCAAAAATGATTCCATGGATCTCTTTCTTAGAGATTGGTATCTGGTTAGAAAAAGCCATTTTGCTTTCTCTTTTACTAAGAATTAAAAGGACAATTTTACATAAGTTATGTTTTAAAAGAAACACAAATACAAAGGATAATGTTGCTAACTTATACATCTTCAAGTTAAACACCCTTTGCGTATATACAAACATAAAACTATCTTTCTACCACCACTTTGTGAAAAAACATAACACACACGTGGGGTTTTACTGCATTCCTAAAACCTGAGGTCTTTTACAAAACATTCTGTAATATATATTCCCTTGTTATGTTATGAAGGTTTTTGTGACTAATTTAACAAAACCTATTAATTAAATAAAATAAAAGTACACTTTATGGTACTGTATTATCCCTATGATTCTACTTGGTTTTGTGTCTGTTCACTTGCTAACTTGCGCACTTTAAATAATGTCTGATTGCTAGTCTCTAGTCCCAGTCTTGATTTTGGGACTTCAGGTTATGGGATATACACTATATTTGTAAGTAAGTTGGTTTGATAGATACCCTCACTTTATAAAAGATGTTCTTTTAAAGTAAAAGGGTCATATCCCAAAGAATCCTCCTTTGCACTCTAGGTTCTAACTTTATGTAACAAGAAATGAGTTTATATTTGATCCAGCTAAAAAGATAGATTCAAATTACATCATCATCCACATAAAGCATATATTGTTAGAATTCAGGTTCTCAGGAAAATTAAAGTTTCATGTGGTGACTATTGGAGGTTTGGTTTCACTAGGGATTTTAACACAAGTTATGTAGTTGCAAATTAACTACAATTTTATGTCCTAAATTAGACATTCCACAAAATTTTGTCTTAGGACACAAATATTTGTGGCTAGGGTTCTCCCCACCCTGGAACAAATATCTGTGAAGTGTCTAGACTAGCTTTTACCATTGTGTTAGCAATCAATTAACTTAAATTGTAAATCTCTCTTGTAGACAACCTGGATTTTTGCAATCCACAGATGGTGGAAAGTGAGTGGGGATGCAGTGAAATCCATGTTGTATAAATAACTGAGTATATCCAGAATTTATGGCCATTAAGGGGATTTTATCCCATCTGGACAGATCTCTAAAACAATAATATTTGGGAACATTGCTTCTATTGTCATCCTTAACTCTCTCTTACCATATTCTTCTGGCAACTAATTAATGTTTCTGAAATGTTTGGAGAACCTCATAAAAACAGGTGGCTATAAGTGTATTGCTATTTTTCTTAGTAACAGATGTCCCTATTTAGAAACAAAGAACAAAACAAAATTAAAGAAGGATATGATATGGCATAACTTGAATAAGATTAAGGACTTATGCACATGACATTCCCCTGTTACCATTGTCAATTTTGTATGATTCTGCGTGCTCATACCTTCCGGTCCTGAAGTCCTCTCTTGTGAAACGCTCAGTCAGACCATTAATATTTTCCCCTGTACTAAAGTGAATCATCTGCTCACCTGACAGAGGCCTTTGTTTTCTATATTATTATTATTACATTTACTACAGATGTGCCTAGACAGCAAGAACAGAACTTTACCATCCTGGCCATTGTGAAGGAACAGAGCAATAGACAAGTCTTGCCACAAATGGCCTACAATCATTTTTTCTGCTGTAAAGACCATAATTCATGTGAATTTAAATTTGTTCCCAATGAACAAGAAGCTGTAAGGAATATGCCTAGTGTGTACCTTCAGATTCTGGTGTAGTAATGGTGGCTTCTGCAAATGGCCCAGCACCAACCATATTTACTGCTTCAATCATAAACCTACAGAAAATCAAAGAGAAATTTTCCAAAGCATCACCTGAAATGTAGACCTTCCCAAGCAAAACAATTTTATTGCAATTGCTTATCACATCTCGCTTTCAGTGAAAACATTTGCTTAAAAAAATCAACCAGGGACAAATTCTAATCAAAATATAATCTAAGAAGTGAATGTAATGGCTTTGCTAGATAAGGCAATGCAATCAAGTATATTAAGTAGCAAAATTATGTCCTCAGATTCATGTGACAACTCAATTTGATTTCAAAGAAATGTCTATACACATCTCTAAAAGAAAAACATAGCTTTCTTGAGCTTAATTAAAGGAAAATTTGCAGGTGCTCAGACAGTAGAAAGAGTCTGTATTTCCTCCATGTATGGGAGAAATGCTATACAAACGAAAAATACAAAGGCTGAAGTATTAGAAATCCCACATTTTGGCCTTGCATCAACTTGTCATCTCCAACTGAATTGTTTTTTGGGGATTTTGGTTTTTTTGCTAAAATTCTAATTCCATTATTCATGAGTAAATCTAGAGTAACATAATTGATTTCAGTGGTGAGACCTTGAATTTTTTTGACTGTGTACCTGAAAGGGGAATTTTGTCCACTGATCCTACAAATGCAGTCTTCAGGTGCATCTTTCCTGTTCAGTTAAGACTCATGCACAGGTATTTCTAGGTTCTGAGAACACCAGTGCCCTTTTCCTAATGTATCTTGTCTCACTGCTGTCACATTTAGTCCCATTGATCACCTTCTCTTTTGTACCTGTAAGTGGTATTCGGCAAGGTGGAGAAGAACTGGAAACTTTGACTGCTTGTTGCTCCACGTAGTTCCTGTCTTTCACTGGTCAGCAGTAAATTATAGCCAACAATCAACCCACTGGAGAAAAGTGGCGGAGACCAGCTAACTTCAATGGTGTAAGGGCCTGAGCTTTCGATATCTTTAATAATAGGAGCTGTAACAGGAACTGTGAAAAACAGAAATAACTAACTGGAGACAAGGTTTATGAAATGTGATTCTTTTTTAAGTAAGGAGACAGATAATGTAACAGCCAATTCATGTCATGCTGAGAAGCTAAGTGTTAGCACCACACAGTTTCACACAGAGAAGACACTCGCCAGGCAACACTGCAGAAGGGGAAGGATGCCAGTATTGTGTGACATCCTTGCCCTTTCCTGATCTTTCATATATAGAGTGATCCAAGTTGGAAGAGTGGGGGTGGGAGAAGGAAAGGTCCAGCTCTGCCATTCCCATTTTAACATATGAAGCCCTTAAGTCCCCTCCTGAGATATCTGTGAGCATAAAATGGATAACCAGCTACACAAAGAGAAAGGGGGAGGGGGGCACTAACACATCCCTACACAAAAGCTACCAGTTTCACACTGATCTAGAAAATCCAGGTAGTCCTATGAGGTTTTGTCAGTAACAAACATAGCACCCAAAACACCCATCCTAAGAGGCTGGACAGGATAAAAGAGAACTCTTTGAAGAATATTTCAGAGTTTTACTTCTTCCTTCAACCTTTTGCCATCAGTTTGCACTCGGGAGGGTGCAAACTAGGAAATTAAAACATAATGATTTCAATTAGGGACAGGAACCTATTCCAAATCTTTTGTGACATTACACATAAAAGGCATATGTGTATGCACATGTGGCCACACATCTATAGGTGTTCCCTGCACCTGCCTACTTGTACACTTCAGTATGCCTTGACTTCCTAGTTTTGTCTCAAAGTGAAAGCACATAAATAGTACAAAGAAGGCATTAAAAAGCGGGGTCAGATGAACATATAGACACTACTGATATTTCTCATGAGATTGCTAGAGCAGAAGGAGTCTTACACATCTGCTAAGCACCTAGCTTAAGCACAGAAATGGCTAAATATCAACTTGGATACCTATATTGCCTGTCCTGGAGAATCCGTATCTAAAACTCAGCCACCAAAGTAAAGGTCTGGAGATTCTTCCCTGCCTGCAATGAATCATTTGTTTTTAGGGTCTAACAGATATTGCTGAACTGTCCAACAGAGATGACTCATCCCCAGAGATGACAGAAATATAACTGAAGAGCGAGTCTTCAGTTAAGCGTGATTAGCATAATTGTGTTTGACAATTCCCATCACTTCCCCTTGTTGTTTGTAGCTTATAAAAAATCATCTTCATTTAACTGCAAAAACAATCCCAAATTCCTCTCAGCAGCACCTTGCACTATTGAGATGCAGGTTTTATCACAAGCTAAGGCAGAAGAATTCTGTGGGAAACCTTCATTAAAATTAAAAGACCTCCAGAGGAAAATTGATGTCACACCGCATCAGTACCAAGATTAGCTGAAACCATTAGTTCATACCTCAGCAGCCTGCCCAACTTTCCATCATTCTGTGATAAACACCACCTTTTGGAAGGAACCTTAAAAACAGATGCCAAAGGTCCTGTGTGACTTTTTAGGAGAGACTAAGACATATAAGAGCTAAGGAAGTACAGATGAGATGAATGGATTGTAAAATGGACAGAAAAGTGGCTGGATCATCAGACTCAAAAGGCAGTAGTCAATGACTCCATATCTAGTTGGCAGCTAGTATCAAGTGGAGTGCCCCATGGGTTGGTCCTGTGGCCAATTTTGTTCAGTGTCTTCATCAGCGACTGGAAGATGGGATGGAGTACACCCTAAGCAAGTTTACAGATAACACCAAGCTTATGGGGGAGTAGCAGAAATGCTGGAGGGTATGGCCAGGATTCAGAGAGACCTCAACAAATTGGAATATTGGACCAAAAGAAATCTCATGAGATTCAATAAAAAGAAGTGCATAGTCCTGCACTGAGGATGGAACAATCCCATGCACCGGTACAGGCTGGGAACTGACTGGATAAGTAGCAGCTCTGCAGAAAAGGACCTGGAGCTTACAGTGGACAGAAAGCTAAATATGAGCCAACAACTGCCCGTGTTGTGAAGAAGGCGAACTGCATATTGGGGTACATTAGTAGATCTGCCAGCAGATCCAGAGAAGTGATTATGCCCCCCTAGTACTGTGTCCAGTTTTGGGATCCCCACTGCAGAAAGAAATGTAGACAAATTGAAGAGAGTCCAGCAGATGGCAATGAAAATGGAAAAGGGGCTGGGGCACATGACTTATGAGGAGAGGCTGAGGGAACTGGAGTCTGGAGAAGAGAAGATTGAGAGCCTTTGAGGTCACATAAACTTTGAGGTCACTTCCAGTTCTATGATGCTATGATTCTAATACCACAGAATAGGTAAGAGAAAGAAATGAACAGTGTTTCCAGCTAAAATAGTTCCAAAGAGGATGGAGCTAGACTGTTCTCAGTCATGGCAAATAACGGAACAAAAGGCAATGGTCTCAAGTTGCAGCAAGGACAGTTTATGTTAGATATTAGGAAAATCCTTCAGAACAGGTTACCCAAAGAGGCTGAGAAATCTTTATCCTTGGAGGTTAAGACCTGGCTAGACAAAGTCTTGGCTGGCATGATGACCTTGTTTTGAGCAGGTGGATGGCCCTGTTTTGAGCAGGAGGTTGGACTAGATGACCTCCTGTGGTCCCTTCCAACCCTAATTTTCTATGATTCTATGATTCTTAGGTTTTTATTGATGCCCTTGGTCAAAAATTCCCTCCCACTCTATTTCCTTACATCCATTTGTATGCCATCCTGACTCAAGACTGGCTTAAAGTCCCAAGCTAATTTATAGGCCCACAACATCTAATGCACAGAAATTTTGAAATTTCAAAAATCAAGAATTCTCTTTAAAACAAATACAAATAAGAACAGAAAATCTAAAACTTTGTAATATTGCCCCTGAAACTATCATCAGGGACATTAATTACCTCCAGATGGGTAAGTCCGGTAACTGGGGCTAGGTGGAGAATACAGCTGCAGCTGAGATGTGAGGATCCAAACTATGCGAAACACATACTCTGTAAAGGCTTGAAGATTATTCACTGTATATGAATGCTCAGATGTCACCTAGATCAATATGCACACATAAATATTTTCATTATTGAACCATGCAAAGTTGCCATTTATGATCTTAGTCTAGCCTGGTATTGCTATATTAAAAAATGTGTATTAGGAAATTATAGTTCTGAATTTCAATTTAAAGTAGAAAAAAGTCAAATTAACTGGTTTTCTTTAGACAACATCTTATTATTTCTTCTTTATTTTAATAAAAATTCACCACAAATTTAGCCAAACAGAAATTGGATGGGTGCATGGTTGGGCAGGTGGATGGATGGATGGATGGATGGAACATAATATCTCAATTTTAAAGAAATAATACAATATTAAACACTCTAACAATAAAACATTTCAAATTTCAGCACCTATACCAAAAGCCTCATGGAAGCTTTAATAAATATCATTATGCCTGAATATAATAGTCTAAAAGATATCAAAAATTGAAATGCAAACCAACAAACACCAACAAAATACTGTAATTACACAAATAATTTCCAGATGTTTTATACTTTTAACCAACTGAAATATAACATGCACAGAGGAATCTTTTTATATGCCAGCAAAACGCAGTTTTTATTGTGAAATCTAAGATGAAACCTTTTTACTAACATGCAACAAAACAGATTTAGATTAAATCTCAGGAGAAACTTCCTTGCAATTAGATAACTAAGGCAGTGGAATATATTGCCCAAGGAAATTGCAGTATCACCTTCACTAAAGGTTTTCAAAAGAAAGCTGCATAAGAATTGGATGAAGATAGTTTAAAAATAGCATTCCTGTCTTCTGCATGCGGTTCGACCAGATAAACTTTGAGATCACTTCCAACTCTATGATGCTATGATTCTAGTACCACAAAATAGGTAAGAGAAAGAAATGAACAGTGTTTCCAACTAAAATAAGATGGACTGCAAACAATAATAATAAAATATTTATTTAAAAAGTAAATGGAACTATTTTGTCCTTCCTTACCTCAGTGTACCTCCAGTCTCCAGGGAGCTGATTGTACTTCCACTGGATGATGTATTTCACCCAAGAAATATTAGCTGACTTCCATCGTAAAGTCACATTGTGGCTTCCAATGATAGATGCAAATGGTGCTGTAGGTGTGTTCAAGTAATCTTTGGGGATGGGGGGAGGTACAATTAAACATAAAATAAAAATCTTAAATCAATAATCCCTTTATTTTTGTATTCTGGTAGTTTCTGTGAAGTATCAGAATGAAGCAACACTCTCTGATGCTACACTGAAATAGCAGCACTTTGGTGGGGAGGCTCCTGGTATGCTTGGTAAAGGTGAGGTAGATACGTCTCTACCCCAGGTACCTTAATATAACAGGTAGCTATACAACCATTAAAAACATAGAAAAGATGCATACCCAAAAAAGTATGAAACTGGTTGCTTTGGGAACAAATGATAGGCATCATCCTGAAACATAAATTAAATATTCTTTTCATGATCAGTAGGCCAACAAAAGACTATAATGAAATCTTTGAGGCTATCCTTACATTGTTTCATCCAAACAGGAAAGAAACAGTAGATTTCTAAGAGTAAGATTTGCAAAAGTGCTCAGTATTGATCTAACTGTTCCACTGAAGTCAAAGAGATTTTTTATCGCTGATGCAGATATGGCGAAGCTGAGTGTGTTTGAAAATCCTTCTCCAATCCTCTGCGCTTGGATTCAAAGATTTTGAAGTTCATGGTGCTAAAAATATATTTATTGTAACACAATATCTCTTTCTCTATTTTTAAGCTGAAGACAATAATAGGACTGTTCATCTTTTTAGTACAATATCTATATAGGAATCAGAAAATTGCAATATACTCCTGACTTTGCTCACACAAAACTAAAGTAAAATGGGGGGTGTCTACACATACATTTATGCCATCTTAAATTTACTGCACAGTAAATTACTGCGTAGTAAGCAGGAATAGGCCAGGTGTCTACACATGCAGGTGTTAAAGCACATTAACACTGTGTGTGGTCTGTTTTGGGACTAAAGTTAATTCCAAATCAAACCACACACACAGTGTTACTGTTCAGTAAGGCATCTACATCTATGTTACTGGGCAGGTAATGTAGGTATCAAATTTATAGTCAAGTCAGTGTAAGCCACCATATTTACTGCGCAGTACGGGCATACACGTGTAGACACGCACCCGTACTATGCAATAATTTTGGTTACTGCACAGTAAATGCACACACGTAGACCTGCCCTGGTACTCTTAGAAAAGAGTTCCACAAGCTATGAATTACTCCTCAACGAGATGTTCATGCTTACCCTGTATTTTAATGCCATAAGCATTCTCTGCACAGCTGCAGCCAAACTTGCAGGAAATTCTCTGTATAAAACATACAGATCTTTAGTTTAGTATAAATACTGTAGGTTTTCTTGATAGAAGCATCCAGCCATACTAATACCATAAAATCAATTGTGTTCAGTCTCAAAATAATGGTACCATAGGCTTAATGCAAAAGTCTGCTGGCGGGAGTGAGTTTTTCTAATTGGCACTTAATCAGGCTTTGTTTTCCCTTTATTGCCCATTTTCTGCAATATGTGGGACCAAATCCTGCTCACTTTTCATTGGACTCCATTAAAAATATCTAAGTAAGCAAAACAGGATATTGCCCATTTTTATTATAATTTGTGATAAGTTCTAGTCACTGAGCCTTGCCCTTTTCACTGTTCCTTATGCCCGTAATGCTTCCTAATCCTGATATAAAAGGATCTTGAGGATAGAGTAGATCACAGACTAAATATGGGTCAACAATGTAACACTTTCAAAAAAGTAAGAGTAGAGCGTCATTTTTAAGTAAAAAGGAAGTGTCTATTTTACACTTTTCAGCTGGAGTGCTGTGTGTGGTTTTGGGCACAAATTATGGAGAATTATGGAGACAAATTGGCAATTCCAGGGGAAGGCACAAAAATAGAAGGTTTGAAAATATGACATATGATGGAACAATTGTGCATTTTCTTACTTTTTTCTTACTTTAGAAAAAAAGAAGGCTAAAGCAGGAGACAAGATAACCATATTTTAGCATGCAAGAGCTTGCTGTAAAGGGGATTGGGATCCATTGTTCTTCATGTTCTCTGGAATAGGAGAATAAATTACCTATAGTTTAATCACAGCAAAAATGGTTTAGATAGAAACTAGGAAAATCTTTCTAACTACAAAGCTACTGAAACAGATGATGAAGGGAGATTTTAGATTCCTCTCATTGCACGTTTCTAAGAAGAAGTTAGGTAAATACCTGGTCTGAATATACTTAATCCTGTTTCAATGCAGGACTAATGGACTAGATGTCTCCCAAAAGTCCTTTGAAGCCCTAAATTTCTATGTTTACTATTAAATCATATTAATAGAGTGCCTGAATTTCCAATGTCTGAATTTCCATTGTGTAAAGTTGGGTGCCTATCACAGGGACCTTTTGAGGCCACCTCTATGTGATGTGCTCAGATATTGCAATGAAGAATTCTATAGAAACATTATAGCATTACTACTCAGTGGATTCAACATACACTATATAAAGTAGTTCCAACTTAAACTGGATTCAAATAGTCCTGCTCCTGTTGAACAGTGCCTTTTCCCAGTAATAGTCCTAATAAACTCAGTCGGAACATTCAGGGTATAAGGCGCTACCCAACATGGCAAAAGGTTCCATAAGCAGAATCTGTTCCATTAAGCAGCATTCACCATGAATGGTTAATAAACCATGATTTCTCAATTTCATGGTAAATAGATGGCAAGTTTTAGCTTAAAAAGCTCATCCCTTTATTAATCTCCTCAGCAAGAGAAAAAATTAAGTCTAGGCCTATGGCAGTTAAGGATCAGTCTGTAAGGAAGAGGAAAAAGGACATGAAATCAAGAGGAACTGGAGGAAATGTGTGTACTGAATTAGTTTCATGACAAGTTATTCAAAGTGGTGTAAACCAGCAGGTACATGTACATTTAAAAAAAAAAAGCTACCCATTCTTGACTGTCAAAGCCCAAGACATCCAGTAAGGCTGCCGCTGAGAGTTTGTAAAGACTTAGCCTCCTCATGGTGCCAAGAACAGAAGCATAATTGCCAATGTTTGTACAGTTTGTCTTTCTACGACAAAGGTAGTTTACTTGGAAATGTTTACATTGCTACTAACAGCAAAACAAAAAAGTTACTTCCTTAATGCCTTTAATTAAGCAATAAGTCTCTGCTTTGTACTTGGGATTGGCCTACTGCCTGTTCATGTAGTTTGAAGCATAATAAGACATAGTTATATGTCTGTCTCTACAGTATTGGAAATTAATTGCTAAGGCAGTTCTCTCTTATCAGTTTCCATGAACTTCAGGAAGTATATACCATGAAGCCATAGACCATTACCAAAAAAAAGAAATAAGTCCACCCACTATAATATGCCATTCGTCACATTTTACTGATGCAAAAGTTAATTATTACTTGAAAAATGTTTGCTGTATGAAAAGAACTAGTAAAGCAGGAATATTTATTATCTTCAGCTTTTGAATATCACAGGATTTTGCAATAGAGATAAGCCTAGACAAAACAAAATAAAGCAAAACCTGGAGCCATTGGCAACGTGTAAGGGGTGCACACTGGTGCATGTCCACCCCTAAGATTGGCAGTGCCATAAAAGAAGCTGTTGCCAGCATCTGCAGGTAGTTGCCGACCGCTGGTTGGCACCTGCCATCCCCCCACCAGCCCTGCCAACACCGCTGTGGACAGTGGCGGGAACTCCCCCCTCCCCACCTCCATGCCCCCGCCACAGCCTGCAGGTGATCGCTGTGCCCCCCCAGCCTCCGAGGGCACGCATCGTTCATGTGCACAGTAATGAATGTGCATGGTTTTTCAGTTCTACTTAATGCGTAGCAGCCTATTTTACTGCATGTTAATGTAACTGCATAGTTTTTTATGTGATGCTTTAATGCACAGTAAAATAAGCTACTGTGCATTAAAGTACATGTGTAGACATGCCCAGTGATACTCAAGCCATGCCTGCCTGCATCATCTCTCTACTAAGACCAGGACCACCAGTGAGAAACAAGCAACTCCCACCCATTCCTAATCTGTGTGTATCTAAACAATTAGGCAGAATAGATGGCTTACAGGTATCCTAACAGTGTGCCTGGGCATGTGCTCAGGACCCTCTAAGCTGTCTACCTTGCTGAATTGCTGGATTTTGATGAGAGTGAGCTGGGCTTGTTTCTCAAAAGTGTTCAGGGTCTGGGTAGAGAGGGAGTATGGATGTAGCTAATCACTTAAAAATAGGACATGGGTCAGTTAGGCTCTTTTGAAAAGTTTCCCCTCGGTGACAGTTCCCAGTCTGTAAAATAAAGATTACAATACTTCCTTTGTATGTTTGTCTGCTTCAGTTGAGGACTCTTTAGGACACAGAGAGCCCAATTTTATTCAACCTATTAAGCTTGTAAGTGGATCTGGATGCCTAAGTGTGATTCTATTCCACCCTGCTTGAGTCTCTGAAAAAACATTTAATGCAAAAGATGGGTGGCGGTCTTCCTTCTTGTTCTCACTGCTCTTTTATGATTCAATCAGATGTGTTTCAGATGCATTAGGGGATTTTCAGGAACTTGAACAGGGTGAAATTGCACTTAGGAATCCTAAATCCACTTAGATTTCTAAACATGGAATGGAATCTAGCCTGAACTGTCACCTAGCTGCATGGATATACAGTCCATTTTGTATTGGGACCCTGATCTTGGGGAATACCTGTAGGCACAACTATAAAAATGTATGCCATGATTAATAACAAGAAGTTAAACACTCCATCACACACTGCAATCTGTAGATATATCCTTAGATACAACTCTTTCAAGAAGGGATTATTCTGCAGTTTTAGGGCTTGGACTACATAATCAAAATTCTGGATGTTTTACATGTTAATTGTGTTTAATTCTGTTTTGCAAAGATTTTAAACATTGAAATGATTTTTAGAGCCTTTGCTTTGATCTTCCTGGCATTTATCTTACCTCACATGCTCTAATGTAGGTCTGGTTCTGTAGAGGAGCAAACACAAAGAAATACTATTAGCATAAATATACAATCTCGCAATATCCCAATAGTCCAAATAATATAACATAAATTAATGAGGCAGTTTCTGCAGCACAATATAACCTGTAAAAGCCTATCACAGTTGCAAACAGTTGAAAAAAATAAATAAATACGTAAGGCCAGGATTTGAACGATGCTAAGTCCAAATGAGTTCCAGTTGTGCAGAAAGAGAGGGACTACCTCAATGGAGGAAAATGACATTAAATGTTTCATGAACAATTTTCCAAAATCTTTTGGTGATTTGTATGTATCTGCTGTTGTTTAAAGGTGGGAAATATAGCGATGGCTTGTGCTGTATTTATAGGTGCATGCAAATGTGGAACAGGCTTAACAGGGTCTGATACTGAAAGATGCTGAATACTAGTAATTCTCATAGACTGAAAGCCCATTTTGGGACTTACAGGGGCAGAGGGAGAGGAAGGAAGGGCGGCGGCAGCAATCCCTAGAGGCAGCACACAGGTGCCACTGTCTAGCCAGAGCCGGTTAAATAAGGAAAGTATTTACCTACTCATATGTACTTAGGTACTGGGCAGCATGGCACCCTTCATGGGATCTCCTAGCACCCTTAGGCGCTGCAGCACCCTGATTGAGAGTCACTGACCTATGCCAAAAACAGCTGTTTTCCAAGTTCAGTACACTCTATTTAGGAACTTCAGACTAGTAAAATCATGTTACATATTCCAACAGGGAATGTACAAACTTATATGGAAAACAAATGGTGGCTGTTACAATTTTTTATTATAAAAATAGTCTGGTTTGGCAAAATACATTTGGATAATTTCCTAGAGGAAATCTGAATGTATGAAGTGGAACCATGATGAATAACATACTTACACATTTCAGCGGGCAATTTTCTTGTACTGTTGCATTCCAAAATTGACAGCCCTGTGTGCACTGTAAAAAAGACAGTGAATACTAAATATTTAAATGGTAGTTCAATAGGCAAAGAAAAAAGACAATGATCTAGTACCAATGCAGTTGGTGTTAGGACAGAAGTGGGAAACCTGGGTTCAGTTCTACACTCTGGCAAGACTTCTGTGTAATCTGGGGCAAAACACTGAGTTTCCCACAGTTTTAGCTCCCTGTTTATAAAAAGGGAGGCTTTTGTGAGGCTAAATAGTCACTTTAGATACAACAGTAAGACAAGGAAAGTACCTAAATGTCGGTCCAAATTTTTAAAACCTAGTTTAAAATATATGACTGACTAAACAAATCTATTGCATAATTTTGTATGTAGAAATTGTAGAAGCAGTACCAAGCTGCACACCTCCATACAGAGATCTGTTCCTCCAGAAACAGACCATAGGCTGATTTCTGGCTAAGAAAACCCCAGTTCATTCTTGCTGTAGGAAGGGGAAAATTAATTCCCAACATGAAGCACTTAGCTGCCAGAGGATGGAGTCAATGCTCTATCCATTTCTCATTCTGCGCCATGCCTGGCTTGCAGAGGTAAGGACCAGATTTGAAAAATAAGTATTGCCAGCCCCAGGCATTCAAAAAAATGAAATTGGCATTAAAAATCATAAATTTTATTTTAAAAAATTGGATTCTTTTTGTTTGCCTTCTACTTCTAAGCCTTTCAGATTCATTATATATCATTGTTTTCTTTGTCACTGTGAAGACTACATCTACTTTAAAAAATGAGGATGTCTGATCTGACTCCAGAGGCCAGGGCCTTAACAAAAACACCAAGTACAGCAGGGCTCGAAGAAAACTGTAAGTGTTGCCTGCCTGCTTGGAATCTCAGCAGAGCTGGGTTGGAGGTGGGTTTATATGTCCGGTAAGCAGTATGACAATAAAGGACCATAAAGTAAGCAATCCTACCTGAGTCCTGTCCTGAAAGGATGCTCTACATAATAGTTATACCATTGGTGATTAAATTCTACATCACCCAGAACCTGTGTGATAACAGGCCTTCTTCAGAGCACATGGGATCATGAGGGGGAATTGTGCTAGATATCTTCTAGGGCATATTGGCTAAACGCTGTTGGCCTTCCAGAAGAATCACTCCCTCCCCATCAAAAATGTATGTTGACCTACAAAGATCTTCAGTACAAACCTGAGTGTTTAGAACTCTGCAAAAGTCTAACACGGAGCTTTTAAAAATGTGTTTCCAGTTTCTTCCTATCAAATTAATGAGAAAGTAAAATGGGCCTTATTTTAAACACACTACACCAGGAGTTTTAAATGCAGAGCCTGCAGGCCGGATCCAGCCAATAGAGCTGTATGATCCTGCCCATGGGTTTCTGGACTGACCCCACACACCACATGGGGCAAGCACGGTTCCTGGCCCTGGCCCCACATGTTGCATTCAGTGCCTGTGACAGACCAGCTCTGTGCTCTGGGGCCAGTCTGGCCCACATACCATGTGCAGCAGCGCCAGTCTGGTGGTGCAGCCTGCACAATACATGCAGGGTTAGCCTGGAGTGGGCCTAGTATGCACAGCATCCAGCATTTGGGCTGGACCCAGGGCTGTGGGTGCTGCACTCTGTACAGGAGTTTGGTCCCGATCCGGCCTGCAGACCGGCCCAGCAGCCCTAATTTGCCCCAGAGGGATGGATGAGTTTGACAACCCTGTGCTAGACTACCCTGACTACAGTGGTATTGATTATGAGCATCTTATGGAAGCACTGATTCTGATGAGAGCCTAAATAACCTCAAAAACATCTTCAGTCCAAAGTTTGCAGATCTGAATGTCAATAGACCAGGAAACAAAGTCTATACTCCCCTTCAGCAAGTTCTCTGGAAACAGTAAGGGTCTACATGGGCCATATTCAGGTCTGTTGTAAATAGTTTTCTCCCCTCTGCTAGCAATTTAGTTGCATCCATTTATACCAAGTCTTGATATGCCTCACAGTACAAACGTATAAGCAGAAATTGTGACCATTGCACCCTGGTTATCTAAACATCAATAATATATCGTTATCAAAGCAAACTATTACTCACAGCTCTGGTGATGTCACTAACATTGCAAAGGTTATTAATGGCAAGCTCTCCTTCCTATAAATGAAAAACACAGCTATTTACAAAGAATTTCCTTGATTAAATGCAGCAAATATCAGCATGTCCTTCCTTTATTAAATTGTTTTCCAGTTTTTAAATTATTGCTGACACACCGTCTGATTTTCACTTGCTTGATACTTGAAGCGAATTAAGGTTCCTGAAGTAGGTGGAATCAGCTGGAGTCAATAGTTACCTCAACCCTTTGTCTCCTGATTTTGACTTGTTGAGCTTAATAAAGACACCTGGAGCACAAATGGCATAAAACCTAGTAGATCCAACCTTCTTGGGAAGCATGTTATAGATTTTGTTTCCTTGAATTAAATGCCTTTGTTCCTACCTCCTTTTTACTGACTTAGACTTTGCTTCCCAATGTATCCTCTTCTGATGCCCAAAATGCCTCAAAACTAAAATATTTTTTCCCAAAGAGCCTTGTGTGAAACTTAAGTCCAGGCACTTCCTAACAGGTGTGAGAGAGTCTGGGACCCATTGACATAGGCCTGATCTTACACACATGTATGCAGGTATTTAACTGTAAGCATTGGCCTGTGCTCATGACTAAAATTGACCGTAAGTACAAAGGTATGCAAATAAGGGCCATATAATTCAGCAGTGGTTATGAACCTCTTTCCAGTCCAAAACAGCTAAAACACAATGTGAATATGCACATATACTTTGGGGAATGGAGGATTTAATCTGTACTGGTCCTGAGACCAGATTTTTTTCTTCTCATCTGAGTACCTGTCTTTCAGAGTTACTATACCCTGCTGTTGTGATTAAGTGGTAGGCTACTTGTCTGCTACATGGGTGACCTGGGTTTGATTCCTAGCTGCATACATAACTACGGACATCAAGGCACCACACATGCAGACTCGGCCTGGCCTTTAGATTCTGTCTCAATAGTCCAAGGGGGGATGAAGATCTGGGTAGCTTCCACTCCCCCATATGCCTGCCTAGGTGAATATGTGAACCATCTGGGAGACCTCTCCTGCATGCCCCATGATCCCAAAGGATCAACGGTCGTCTACTACATAGCTGATATAATGACTGGCCAGACATTTCTCATTCGTTTAAAAATAAACCAATAATCTTTGTTAAAAATCATCATTACATCCTAGGGTCATAGCAGAAAAACTGATTAACCCTTTCTTTCTTGTTGGAGCTGGTTTGTGTGACAGAAACAAAGAGTGGTCATTCCTAATGGAATAATATAGTGCACCAAATAGTCCGTTTTGTACATTTCATGTCCATTTCTACTATATTCTGCATTACTAATACAGGGCACACAATGTCATTTCTACAAAGACAAGGTACATGGTCTTCTAGACAACAGCCTCATCTGAATCATATAATAATAGGCACGTAATTACTAAAAGTTTGAAACATATTTATTTAATCAGTTTCAAAAAGGTTTTGGCTTATCTTCTTTATGCATCAGTAGAAGAAAAACTAATAAAGTTCCCTTCACTACTCAAAGGAACACCAAGAAAGCATTAGATCAAATATCTAGCAACCTGCTTTTTTTCTTAAAGAGAAATTAACAATTAAAAAACCTAGAAAATTAAAAAGTTAAACCAGTTTTGATACTGCTCCTGGCCTTAATTCTACTAACATTTTTTATAATTTTACAATTAACTTCACAATTAATTTTTTCTATTTTTTAAATATTTTACTCTCCCCTACTGCACCATTAAAAACTGATATGACTAGCAGTCCAAACTGACTGATGGATTGTACATGAGCAGCCAGAGAGCTAGATCCTATTCCAGCCATTCGGCACTTAAATGGATTTAGGTGCCCAAGTGTGATGGTATTTCATCTGTCCTTTTCAAGACCCTGAAAAAAAAAGTTAACACAAAAGGTGAATGGGTTCTGCTCCTGCTCAGTACTTTCTGTGACTTAGTATTAACGTTTTTTCACACTGGAGCAGGATCGCACTTAGTTGCTTAATTAATGGAAAGGATCTGACCAAGGGTTTATATAGCTGCTCTGAGACTTCTGGATAGGGTAGATTATAGATCTAATAAATAAATAAATAAACTGAGAAAACATATATTTCTTTTCTGTGCTCTCTTCTTTTTACAGTGACCTGAGGAGTCGTTATAACAGAAGATAAAGAGCATTCATATACACTGTAATTTACTAGGTTAAATTTTAATAAGCATGACATTAATGTTTCACTCCAAATTCAAATATAAACACATCAGACCTCAACCCCACTTTTACACACATATTCTTTAGATGCAATTTTAAATAAAGTGTCTTGCAATTAAAAATTCTAAGGGTGTAGCAACTGAAGCATGCTTCAAAGAGTTAAGCACAGGTTTTTTTTTCCGGAACTTACCACACTACTTGCACATAAGTTCTGACAATTGTCTGAGAAAGTGCAATGTCCTGTGGAAATCAATGCGTAGCAAAAAGAAACAAAACTGGTTAGCTTGTAATTCCACAGGCAGATGTTCTTCATAACTTGAACAACAGATTCATCTGTCAGAATGCTGCTTTTCTTAATTCAGTCATACAAATTCCCTTGGTTCTAGATGCCAGAAACAAAACTTCTTCATTTCAATGTTCAAGTGAATTAAAATCCTTACTTAAAATACATCCATTTTGTGACTTTAGGGATTCCTGGATCACTTGCCTTGAAATTGTGCAACATCTCTTTCATAGCTTTGTATTCAACTAATGAAACAAAAGTGTGGACAGATGAAAGGCACCAGATTCCTTATCTAAATAGCATTCACATGAAATGGAAGCTAAGAGGAACGCCCAGAATGAGGTATCATGATGAATAAGGAAGTAGGGGAAGGAGAGAATAAGGTAAATCCTTTTCCATGTTGCATTTTCTACTAGGATGAAACAGTTTTAAAGCACTTTTTTTTAAAGTGACAACAGGTAAGATGGCCAGGCTGGGTAGTGTGCTAGAGAATGACTTTGTTAAAACACTTTTAATAATAGCCCACAAAAACCAGCACAATCTTGCCAATGGATGCTATTTTTAACAGCAGCTTCCAAACATGGTAAATGGGGACACACAGAGACACAAAATACCCTTGAAGTCAGAATGCTTTGTTGGGTTTTGTACACAAAATCACAGCAAGTGGAATACTGCTCCTATACACTTTTTTGAATCATGGATGTTATTTCTATTTTTAAAATATTTATAGTCTGGTAGCACCAGGTATACCCACTGCCCCGGCAAAACAAAAACAAACAAAAAAATCTGCTCCACTTCATTATGTGCTTTTTAAAGGGGTTCTTACAAGCTGTGTTTCACCAGTTTAATTTATGATTTTAAATTGTAAAATTTTGTGTGGACACTTTCAACTATTTTAGGCAAGGTCAGCTCCCAGTCTACTGCACCAGGCAGCACAGTTTGGGGAGGTGATGAGCAACCAACAGTGGGAAAAGAACAGGTTAAGGACTATTTAGAAAAGTTAGACATATACAAGTCCAGGGGGCCAGATGAGATGCACCCAAGGGTGCAGAGGGAATTGGCTGATGTGATTGCAGAGGCACTGGCCATCATCTTTGAAAACTCATGGTGATTGGGAGAGGTCCTGGATGATTGGAAAAGGGCAAATATTGCCCATATTTAAGAAAGGGGAAAAGGAGGATCCAGGGAACTACAGACCAATCAGCCTCAGCCCAGTCTTTGGAAAAATCATAGAGCAGATCCTCAAGGAATCCATTTCTAAGCACTTGGAGGAGAAAAAGGTAATTAAGAACAGTCAGCATGGATTCACTAGGGGCAAGTCATGCCTGGCCAGCCTCATTTCCTTCTATGATGAGGTGACTGGCTCTGTGGATGCAGGGTGACTGGTGGATGTCTTGTACCTTGATTTTAGCAAGGTTTTTTATACAGTCTTCCACAACATTCTCGCAGGCAAGTTAAGGAAGTACGGGCTGGATGAATGGACTTGAAAGTGGATAGAAAACTGGCTGGAGCATCGGGCTCAGTAATCAATGGTTCGATGTCTAGCTGGGAGCCAGTATCAAATGGAGTGCCCAAGGGTTCAGTCCTGGGCCTGGTTTTGTTCAGTGTCTTTGTAAACGACCTGGAAGGTGGCATAGAGTGCACCCTCAACAAGTTTGCAGATGGCAGCAAGCTGTGGGAAGCAGTAGATACACTGGAGGGTAGGGCTAGGATTCAGACAAAGATGTAGACAAATTGGAGGACTGGGCCAAAAGGGATTTCATGATGTTCAACAAAGACAAGTGCAAAGTCCTGCACTTAGGATGGAACAATCCCATGTACCAATACAGGCTGGGGCTGACTGCCTGGGCAGCAGCTCTGCAGAAAAGGACCTGGGGGGTTGCAATGGACAATAAGCTGAATATGAGTCAGCAGTGTGCCCTTGTTGCCAAGAAGGCTAGTGGCATACTGGGCTGCATTGGTAGGTGTGCTGCCTGCAGGCCAAGGGAAGTGATTATTCCCCTCTGTTCAGCACTGGTGAGGACACATATGGAGTACTGTGTTAGTTTTTGGCACCCCACTACAAAAAGAATGTGGAGATATTGGAGAGTCCAGCGGAGGCCAACAAAAATGGTGAGGGGGCTGGGGAACATGATTTAGGAAAGACTAAGGGAACTGGGCTTATTTAGCCTAGAGTAGAGGAGACTGAGCGGGGACTTAATAGCATCCTTCAACTACCTGAAGGGGGGTTCAAAAATAATGGAGCTAGATTGTTCTTGGTGGTGGCAGATGACAGAACAAGAAGCAGTGGTCTCAAGTTGCAGCAAGGGAAATTTAAGTTTGATATTACGAAGAATTTTCTCACTAGGAGGGAAGTAAAACACTGGAACAGGTTACCCAGAGAGGTGATGGAATCTCCTTTCTTAGAGGTTTTCAAGACCCAGCTGGACAAAGCTTTGGCTGGGATGATCTAACTGGGGCTGGTTCTCCTTTGGGCAAGGGGTTGGACTAGATCAGTGTTTCTCAATCTGTGGGTAGAGACCCAAAAGTGGGTCACAACAATATATGAAAGATTCACAAACAAACTTTAAAAATGGATTCTCCTTTAAAGGAGAAAAATGTGGGAAACCGTGGCTTTTCCCTTGGAGGCTGGCAGAGTTCCAGCCTACAAGGGGCTGCTTGGGTCCCCACATGCCCTACACACCCACCCTCTGCCCCACACACAGGGGGGCTGGGGCCTGGAGGCAGGGGGCAGCAGGTCAGGAGTAAGGGGCACTACGTCAGGACTGTCTATCCACATTTACAAATGGGACCTGGTACAAAAAAGGTTGAGAAGCACTGGACTAGATGACCTCCCGAGGTCCCTTCCAATCCTAACTGACTATGATTCTATGAACTCAAGTTGGGTTATTTTGGTTCAGCCTCTAGGAAGTGGTTTAAATTAAACTGGAATAAGCTCATTGGACCAGAATAAGAGCACTTACATATAAGTATGCTCTGTTTGAGCTAAATCAGCTTCTTTAAACAGATAATCTAGCAAAGAATTTAAGTAAAGGTCAGTGAGAGTTCAATTTTAAAAGCTAATAAACTAAGTAAACCAGTGACTAGTAGCATAAAACTTCAGGTACAATTAACTGTGCCTTCTATGTCAGCAGTTTAGACATCTAAGAAGTCACCCAACATGCATTTACTGGGAACATCTACATGTGCTATTAATGCTATTAATGTTATTGGCCACATCTACACAAGACACTACGTCACAGTAGCAATGCGCTACGGCAGCATAGTGTCAGCAGGCACAAACTGTGATGCTGCAGCTACATCACTGTAGCGATGCACTTCCTCAGTATAGAGCACTGTTGCAGCAACCCAGAGGCTAAAAATAACCATGTGCCAGCCACCAGCACAGTGAAGTAACAGCGTTGCAATAAGAGCCATTACTGAGCCATCAATTACTACTTCCTAAAAGAAGTACTAAATGACAGCTCAGTAACAATGGTGCCATAGGGGCCCACTGGGCACATCTACATGTGCAGTGCACCCTGTTAGGAACAAATTTGTTCCCACCCTTCTCTGCCCCCCTGCAACAGCCAGGGAGAGCTCCAGGCTGCCCTGGGTACTAGAATGGAGGCTGGCAAAGGGAACAGAGCCAGTCCTGATGCCCACTGGCTCTGCCAGCTGCAGTGCTCTGCCAGCTGCAGTGGCAGCTGTCTCCTGGCCCCTGTGCACATCAGGATAGGACCTGAAGTGCATGGAGTCAGGAGATAGCTACCACTGAAGCTGGCAGAGCTCTCCTGGCTCTGTGTACATCAGGACACACAGCTACCAAGTGGGGCTTCCTTGCCTGGCAAGGAGTTCCCAGGGAGCTCTTCTGGGTGTAAGGCCCCCCATTCAGCAGGGAGCTGGCCAGGAGCTGTCCCACAAGCAGGACAGCTGCTGGCAAGCCCTGTGGCCCACTCAGCAGGGGGCTCACTTGCAGGACAGTTCCCAGCCAATTCCCTGCCTAGCAAGAGGCACACAGCTCAACAGCAGCTGCCTGTTTGGGTTCCCAGCCCCTCCAGAGTTTCCAGCTCCATGTCATGCAGAACTTTTCCAAGGAGCGAGCAGAGGCTGGATTCCCAGCCCCCACTCACTCTCCAGAGATTCCAATTGCATGCTGGGAGCTGGGAGTTTGGATTGGGGCAGATTGCTCCCCAGTCCTGGCACTGATTTGCTTCCAGCTGCTGAGCAGCTCCAAGACCAGGGACTGAGGCCTCAGACCTCCAGGACCAGGTCCTGTCCCTGTGACCTCCTGGAGCATGTTCACTTGTCTCTGGAGAATGCCCATGCATGTACACTCTGGCATATAGCAAGTTGCCCTGGGTGGGGTAGGGGAAGCTGGAGCCAGCACCTGGGCTGGCCCCAGAAGCCTTACCTGCAGTTCTGAGGGCCTCGCAGGACTCTAGCAGTGGTGATCCAGCAGTGGAGAGCCTGGCCAGCAACCAGAGCATGGCTCTGGACAGCCATGTTCCAGTTTCAGGCAGCACATGCTACTACCACATGCTTTTTTCTAACATGCTGCAAATTAGCAGCACAAGGAATGCCTTTATGTGCAGCGTGTCCACCACCACAGATGGGTCTACGGTGCTACATACCACACATGCGTGCTTGTATGGACATGCCACTGCTGTCTAGACTGTCCGGGAGCAAATTTGTTCCCAGTCAGTATCTACATGAGTGCTACTGCACAGTTAACCTAGTATCTGGTACTAGGTAACTTCACAATAGCCTCATTTACTGTGCAGTAAATGGCCTGCATGTGTAGACTGTGTCACCTTTACTGTATAGTAGATTAGTCTACTGCACAGTAAAGCACCTCATGTAGCTGCACCCACAGTCACCTAATTAGGGGTCTAAGAAGGTACAATTAAATACATAGCTAAAAAGTGTCTAAAGGGTTAGAGAAAAAAAGGTTAAGTATTTTATAGTGCATCGAGTTTTGTGTATGGAGCAATATTCAACCAAGGTACAACTCCAAGTCGGAATCTAAACTCCCTATATTTTGAGGAGATAAAACTGCTTATATGATTTCAGACAGTGACAGAGATATGAAACATCCTTATTAATAGGAATTACTTCATTGTGTGCATATCAATAAAATAAAATGTATGTATTGTGTACATAGATGAGCACATGGCAGGATGGCAGGGGTGTAGACACTAACACAATGGGATTTTTCCCCCTGACAGGAGCATCTAGGCTTCACTGTAATGAAATTAATAAGTAACTTCAATACAAAAAAGAGACAAAAAATAA